AAAATATGTATTGACACACTCCGATCTATATCTTCTTAAGAAAAACACACATTTTATATAAGGAGTAGTATAAGAAAATCAAATATACGTACATGTACAGACAATGCAACTCCTTGGAATTAATGATAAAAGAATGTAGCTTACGTTTATCCTAGTGCAACATAAGAGTTGAGTTCCTTAATCTCTAATATAAATCACTCGAAATATCAACAAACATATTTTTGAAAAAACCTAGAAATCCAACCAAATGCTAGCATAAATAAAGGCAGAGTGAGTTTAAGATATGCACACATATACAATCATAATTTTTATTTAAATACAGTGACTATAAAATTCTTTTCGATGTCGGAACAATATACAAAGCAGGCAAACGGAAAATAATATATTCTATAGCCGATGAGTGAAATTACGTAACTGAAAAGTAAAATCTTAGATGAATTATTACTTCATAAATATTACACTACCTAGAATATCAAAAGGAATACGGTCTCTATAAAATTCATCAACATAGATTATATGTGATAAGAAGTGAACTCACCATAGATTGTTTTCCATCATTTAATTGCTTATTTACTTGAAAAGAATTTTGAGCTTCCCCGTCTTTGAGTTCACGATCAAGCTCTTTAATCAACCTAACGTGAAGCACATTAGGTTAGAAAATTATAAATTGTTGAAGCATGGAGATTCAAACTCATTGATCAGAAATAACTCTTGGCTACTGAAGATTTTTCACTCCAAACTTGTTGCTCACGGTACATGATGAGAATCAAAGGTTCACAAAATAATATAATAAAAAATCGATACAAAACTTAGGATCCTTCAACAAATTAAGAATACACCTTAACTAAAAAAAAAGAGAGAATAATATCAAACTAAAGTAACAAACCGATGAATAAAACATCAAACCTAATTGTTTTCCAAATCTGTTTCTTTGTAGACGTTTAGATGGTGAAGATTCGTTTCATTGTGTTGAGGGTACCAAATTATAAGAATAGAACATACGATTAAATAAATTAGGATTGCATAATTATCAAATAAATTTTTAAAGAACTATTTATAATTTCAGCGACACCTTTAGTATCCGTTTTAGTGGACAAAACAAAACCTAATACTGAAAGATATGAAACGAATTAGTGAAGAAAACCTCGAACCATTGACGTTCTGCAGAAGAAAAGGACTTGACACAACCCAAATTCGATGTGAAAGCTTCCTGAATTTTGATGCAAATCGATTAAGAAAATCATACCTTGTTAAGGTCGATTTAAACTATGAAGTCTAGAAAAATAAAAAATCATAAACGCAAGACCACTGACAGAGATCTTCTAGATGCTTATCGATCTCAAATGCGAAAGTTCCTTGACATGAAGAAAGAATCCAAACATCCTAGCAAACATAATATCCATATTAAATCTGATCATAAATATAGATTAATCACACAAACCAAAAACTAAGCATATAAATTTACCGGAATGAAATTGATTATAAAGCAACTACACAGTTACAAAAATCAGTGACATTATAATATATTGATATTTATCATAACTTAAACATATAAGTGAAAAGATACATTATAATATTCGATCGAACATCTATCATAACATTAAAAAGATACATGTATTAAACACAGTCAAGTAAATCATTATTGAACAAACTTACGGAAGTTGGAAATTAGTAAAGAGGAGTAACTATTCCTTGCTCCATACAATAGGGTTTGAAGAGTAAAATCAAATGGACATATATGCAGCCAAGAATCATTTGATTTTACATCAATGATCGAGCATAAAAGTAAAATCAAATGTTTGAAGATATCGGAGAAAGAACTGAGATTAACAGATTAGCTTGGTGGAAAAGGGCTTCGATAAAAATATCCGAAAAGGGTGAGATTACCTACCTGCACGAAGACCATATACATTTTTAGAGCACTGATTTTCGTATGTGAATAATAAATATAAACATCAATATTGCTTTCAGTAAAAAGAAGAAAAAGAATTGTTACGGTTAACATGGTTCGGTCTTCTCGTAACACAAATTTAAACAATAAAAAATCATATAAAAAAGAAAAAGAACCTACCGGGAGATCTTGAAACAAAGAACACATTAACACAAAACAAAACATCATTCAACGGAACAATATCACTCTGTTTATGAACTGCATACACAAACCAAACATCAAAACAATCATCATCATCATCTAAAAAAGAGAACAAAACATCAAACCTAATCGATCGATGAACCAAAGCCCTTCAAACACACCTATGTCCATGAATCACGATGAACCTGCTGCATAAAAACGAAAGAAGAAATCATCAAGATGAAAAAATACGAGGATCAATGGAAAAATAAGATGCGAAAACAAAAAACAGCAAGAAGATAACTTGACTAAACCCTAAAACTCATATATATATAAGAAGAAATAATATTTGTTTCCTAGGGTTTCTTATAAAATACGGTCCAAGCCCAACAAAATAAACCGAACGGATTAGTGGCATTATCGTAATTTAACTATGATGGTATGGATATGTAATTATATCGATTTATTAAGGATAATATAGGCAAACCAAGTCTTAAACTCACTCTGGAGATGACACTTTAGATGGAGCGAGAACTTTCTAATTAATTATAGATATGATTTGGTTCGTTTGTCTTTGTTTTGTTCACTATTTGGTATGTAGGACGTTTGAATGCATCAAAACGATGTCGTATTGGTAAGGAAGTTTTGGACTCTTTATGAGCTTTGA